ATATCTCGGGTACCAGGACCCAAAGGATTTAGGGATGACGAAAAATGTGACCCCTGGGCCCGAGGAGGATCTGCAAGACCATATATAGCCCTGAACCCATTCTTGGGATAACAAAAACAAACAGAACGACAAAAGGATAAGCGGATAAACTCTAGGGTAAACAAATGCTAAAACAACCCCCACCAAGGGTGACAAACTCACTGCTACAGTTAGAGGGTTAAATTCACTGGAGTGACAAGACTAATTGCCGGTGACTACAATCTGAGAAAACATCTTCTCAACATGAGCATATTCAATGGTGATCCCATTTATAGACTATGGAATAAGGAGAAAGAAACAGACACCTTATCATCTTCGAATGCGAAGCAACCGCTCAATAAAGACATTACTACGACGTTACTGAGGAACTAAGAAAGAACAAGCCAGAAGCTGCAACGTTTAGGAAATAAAAAACCCCATTTCCCAGTATATATATTATCATCATCATCACCTGGTAGATTTTCCTTTAATACGATATTCTAGCGCCTTCATTGTTCAGAAATCGTTTTTTAGCTATCAAAGTAGAGCCTCCTCTTGATATAATCGACATTGGTCACGGTTAAAAGTTCCATTTTTTAAGTGGAATTTTACTGGAGCATAGATTAGATATTTTGTTTTTTCCTTTTATCTTTTTTCCCCTGGTGTCTGGCATAAGTTTCCATTATTTTTTGTGTTCTGTTGTCATCAAAGATTCCAGTTCTTTGTTAGTTTGGTTTTTATTTATGCCATAAAAGAAATTTAGGCTTAGGTATTGTTCCGAGGCACTACTTTTAGCAAGGGTGTCTGCTGCCTCGCTACCTGACATTCCCTTATGAACTGGACCCACTGTAAATGTACATATTAAAATACATTGAATTGAAACATACAACAGACTAAAGCAGCGATAGTGAGCCCACAAAGATAAATCTAATAATAAGGATATTTGTGTGGTGTTTTGTGACCGTTAACCAATGATTATTTGGAGATCGTGAGATGAGGTCTGGTGTGACGAGGTTTTAGAACATTTTCTTTATGGTGGCAACGTTTCGATCGTTATTGAGATCATCTTCAGGGCTTGGGATTTATAAACATTGTTTAAATTTTACAAGTACATGTAGGATTTGGAAATGTTAATTTGATAAGCCTAAAGCAAGAATTTGGCCTATACACGACAAAGAAAATATTTTTCTAATACTTACGTCACACCAGACCGCATCTCACAATCTCCAAATAATAATAATGATATTTTTAGTGCTGTCTTTACCGATAATTTTGATCTGTCTTTTCACCTTCTTCAAAAGTTTGTCTATGGGTTATTTAACCAAACTTATTCATTTTATAAGTTTGATTCCATATTGAATGCGGCGAAATGTTAGAGCATATCTGACAGACTAATTTAGCGAGGAAAGGCAAACCAAACTAGTCGGTAACTACCAAATTCGTCACCCCACCGACTTCAAAGGGAAATTTCACAAGATTGATTTTACCTGCACAATATTTTTTATGGTAAAGCAATGATTTTATTATTTGCATGTTAAGCGATGAGAATCAATTTTATGATTTGATATAAACCCAGAATATTCCGTAGTAGGTTTAATGTTGTTGGGTAAGAATTTCAATTTTTCTTGATAAAGGGTGAAACTGAAATTTTTCCCTGATACTTCACAATTTAATTGTGGATGCCAACAAGGTGTTTTTCAGCTTCTCTTACTATCGATGGCAGAAAAATTGAAACTCATTTTAATGAATAATTTTTTCTCCAGTTCTTTTTATTGATTACCGTTTTTATAAGTTTTTTTTACTGTAAAACTGTCCCTTTGATGCAAGGGTTGAGAACGGAATTCAGTTTTATTTGATGGCTACTATTGTGAAGTGGTCAAGGGCTAAGTAACCCGATGCCACTTAGCGGTAGGCCTGAGGGCTAATAAGGTTCGCAGGCCTTATCTGTCAACTCGCCTAACCCTAATCATGTTTCAGCCTTGCCCCTACCCATTAGTAACTTCGATAAATATCTTTCGATTCGCCGGATTTGATTTTTTTCCATCGGCGAAAGTATAATGAACTGAGTCAACCCTGGTGGTAGAGGGGGATAAAGCACTAAGATAAGAGTATCTTGTTTACTTTTACTTAGGGCTAGGAGAAATAAACTGTTCTTCCCGATAAAAAAGGAAGAGAGGAAAACCACTTACTTTGTCCAACAGGGCTTGACGAGCGTAAGCTCGCTACTTGTAATCCCGCTTGGAAATAAATAACATGACTGACATATTTTTGTAATTCACCTCCAATGTTTTTCAAACTATATTTAACTTTAATGTATATTATTTTACATTTAATTTGCAGCATGAAACAACATAATCATTCTTTTTCTTAAATATTGAACGCTTCTTCATCATGTTTCCAATAGGATAACTTTCTCTCGCTGCTTCTTTATACATATCTATTTTCCCCCTCTCTATCACTTCCTTATTGTGTTTTTAAAAATATTTTAATTTAACACAATAGATTTCAAAATCTCTTTTTAAACAACCTAAAAACACACTTTCCCCACATTCTCTCTTACTCATTCATTCTCTCTCTCTCTCTCTCTCTCTCTCTCTCTCTCTCTCTCTCTCTATTTATCTAGCTATTTAGCTATCTATCTTTCCTTCTATCTCTTTCTTTTTCACACACTACCTCTCCATTCGCTCTTTTCACACTCTCACTCTCTATCTACATATCTCTCCTCACTCTCCCTCTATCAATCTATCCCCCCTTCTCTTTCTATCTAGAGTCCATCTATCTATTTATTTATTTATATTGACTCTAGGTGTAATCGTAAGTAACTGACTTAAGTGCAAATCGGTAGCTCTTGTGTTGTACTACAGTGGAGGGCAAGAGAGTTTTTGCGTTGTAATTTGCATTGGGTACATTCCTCATTAAGTCGTGTGTCTACTTTGGCACTAATCTTTGGTAAGTTCAAGGTGTTCTTGGATGTTGGAGGTTGCTTTGATAAGATTCGGGTTAGAAGATAATATTGCGGTATCAACCACATAGTGGTATTGATGGAATGAATAAGAACGCAGTATAAATGGTATACAGGATGGGGGCCAAGATTGCACCTTGCGAAACGCCTGAAAACAATTCGTCTATTATTGCATTTCTTTGACTATCTATGCTGTTTTGAAGTTACAGATAAAAACCAAATATAAAAGAGCTAAAATGATTAAAAATGACCAAGGTTCATCACCTCGCAGACCATAAGTACCATCGGTTATTTCACAATGCAATCTTTCACTTTTAGGAAGGTATTTCTTTAAATTTAATTTTAACTTCAATTACAAACTCCTGTTTTCCAAAGCCTTGAGAAAGCACAAAAATCTGATAATATCATATTATGTGTATAATTGCTAATATGTTACATATTTTCTGTATAAATGATTCTAATAGGATTATTGTAGACATTTATATGCTATATATATATANTAGTATATATTATATATATATTTTTGGTATCGATTGCTATACAATAATTATTTCGTTAGAATCACCTCCCGCAATAATTTTATTTGGTGTCCCGGTCTCGGTTATTCCAGGCTTATTACTTTTCTTGTTTTCGATAAAAATTAATTGGCCCAATTCCATTGGAATAGGAAAACCAATTTTACAGTGCGGATGAAAGAAGAGTCCGTCAAAAAGCCGTGTTAACGCTTTAAGGGTAGCGAACGGAGTAGTATGAGTATTTAAAGCAGCATCATTGCTCTAGTATGATGTAGTAAGCGGGTGGATGATGTGCTTTGCGACGGGTTGGGCCATCATCTCACCTTCCCTATGCAAATCCCCATTAACAATTCAGAGCCGGGCCGCGTAAAATCCCGGTTTATACCTTATAAAGTATACCGGGTCGGGGGATAATTAGCGCTCAAGTAGGAGGAGGGAAACCGCTCAAACCCCCTGGTCCGTCCCTTTCTCATCATAATACCAGGCTAGTATCTCATTTATGGATACTCTCTTGTCGTATCATGTCTTAATTGGTGTGCGCATTAACTTTGAGGGGTTCAGCCGGATCAGCTTAGTAGTTAAAGATAAATTGTATTTCGCGTTGACATCTTTTACATCTTTTTATATGGTTAAAAATCAACTTTTATTAAAATACACATGGGCCATTTTCCCAGAATGAGCAATCGCTACTTTCAATTTTCTGGAAACTAAAAGCGTCTCTTTCCAAAAAAAATCATGGATGATCTGTACACTGTACTGATCTAAATTTTACACTCGGTCGTACAGCACGTTGCTTCGTCCTGTTTTTACTCCTCATTTTTTAAACTGCAGCAATTTATCGTTATACAAAAATGGTAGCCGATCATTAAAACCTTAGGCTGGCAACTAGCGAACTGATACAAAGTTTAAATATACAGGGTGGTTTGCTATGAGATGTACACAACTAATTAGCTGATATTGGCCCAATAAAGTAGAATACTGCAAAAACTGATTTTCTAACTCATTCCGTCGGGAATATACGATTTTTTAATTTTTTCGACAAAACAAATACTTTTAAAAAAATCTCCGTTGTTAAAGATTTTTCATAAAAATTAAAGTCGCTGAAATCAACTTTACATTTTTTCCGGTCTCGTTTGGAGAAAAACGTTAATTTTTATTGAAAGTGCCTTTGTAATTAAGAAATTCAGTTTTTCTAGCATTATAAGTTCATTTCTTCGATTATACTGTAATACTTCTAATCATAATTGCTTTGATAATTTAGGGTAACGATAATAAAAAAATTGCTTAGTTGTCGATATCGATTGTCAGACAATCCTTGGCGACCAAAACATTGAGCAAACGTAAGTGACTGAAAAAGTCTAACAGCTTCATCAACCGATAGATCCCATAAAGAAATCTTAATTTAAATATCAAATTGAAACACTTGAATAATTGTTTTACTGTCATAATTTACAAAAAATATCTTGTTTGATAACTATTAATTAAACAATATAGAAATGTCTTACCTGAAACCTTCTCATGTCTCGCGGGTTCCCAGCGTTTTTCAAGCAATTTTGATTGCACTTGAGAAAAAATTTAAGGAAAAACCTGAAAACAGAGAAAAGAACAAGAGGTTAGAATAATATTCAAAAACCAATTTACACCGGCGTGGCTTCCTTCCGGGACTTACGATGGCGAGTCCAATTCCCGTAGGACACGTCGGCGGAATTGTGAGAGTAGTCAATATGCAGATGAATTTGTGAAAAACAACCGCCGGTGATTACAAGTAGAAATAAAGTGACTCCGCGGAACAAGTCTGTTGCAATCAAAATGCATGAGTGGGGCACCGAAGGGCTCGGTGCCAATCAGGACATCCCTCTTCATCAACGATTCGATCCCGACAATACGCCCGGGGTCGCTTAATTTAAAAAGTTTCTCCGGTATTCACAGTTGTGTGCGTGTGTTTTTTTCCCTCTGACATTTTTCACAAACACGGGCTTCGGTGCATATTTGATGTCGGCCGACGTGAACCTCCCTAGCGGAGATCGCCGGCGAAATTTGACGAACGTGCAAACAGCCACGTACAAAATGAAACTGGAGGGGTCCCATCGGAGCTTTTTTCCAGCCCGCTTGGACGTTCATAATTGATGAGGGAAATGAGGGTGGGTCTGTGTCGCTATGACTACAAGTCCTAGAATCTTATAACAGTCTAATATTACCGGATGATCATCCCATAAAGGATAGTTGAAGCGGGCCCACAGATAGCAGCAATTGCTAACATTAAGTAAACAAGAACAATTCGCTAATTCATATTCACGTTCAAGTAAAAATACATATATTTAAAAAACAACATATAATCTATTTACCGATTTCTCTTGGATTCTTCAATATGACGCGATTCGGCTTTACCCCATTTTCATGTGATGTCTTCTATGTGTCGGTTCCAATGCTCGGCTCTTTAAGTCTCCTAAACGAAAATAGAAAAAAAGTCGAAGGGCTTCGTCGAAATTGGCTTTTTCTTTTTACCCGTGCCCTTTGGCAGATTTGTGTCTTGGATCTCCTTGTTTTGTATAAAACGTTATTTATTTTGAGCCTTTCCACTCCCAATACTTATGTTGCAGGGAGTAGTTTGTTTATCTTCAGAAAAATTGTTTGAAATAATGATGGAATTACTCACTTAGTGCCCTTAGCCACCTTTTACATCCTTAGTATTTTATTATGACAACTGAATAGATATTACGTTTTAACTATTTTTACAACTTGTGTATTTGAGAAGTTGTACTTTCATAATCCCAAGGGATAAAATTTATATTCCTTGGTATAATTAATCAAGGTTTTTTTTTTGGTTTTTTTTTAATGAAGCCTCGGGGTGCCGGTGTTTTTGAAAAAAAAGCGCATTTGTAAGTTTGTCGGTTTCGAATGCAGAATATCTTCTTTTTAAAAATACTACGTACTGCAATTTCATAAAAATTCCTTTTTTCAATGGATCTGTAATGATGGTAGGAATAAACAGAATAAAAAGAGTACACGATATAAAGTTCAATCAATATATAAAACTATTGATGATTACTGCGGCTGAGGGAAAGGAAGAAGAAAGGGAGAAAGTGAGAGTGAGAAAGACAGTGTGAGAGGGCAGAGAGAGAGATTGAGTGAGAAAGCAAGAAGAAAGAGCAGATTGAGTGAGAGAGCAGAAGGAGATTAAGAAGAGAAAGAAACAGAGAGAGAGAGAGAGAGAGAGAGAGAGAGAGAGAGAGAGAGAGCGAGAGCCGAAAGAGATGTATAGATGGATAGAGATTAAGAAAGATTACATAGAAATATAGTTTCATGCAAGTTCTTTTATTTTGTCAATTGCAGTAGTTTTATTAGAAATTTTATACAAATTCAATAATAATTGATATAAAACAGCATTCTAGTCAAAATTATTTTCTTGTCACCTTTCTAGTTACTTTTGTTTCTTTTTATTCTCTGTATTAATGAGGCTATCATGTATTTTTTACAACTGTAATAGGATCAAATAAAAGTCAAGTAAATTTATTTTTGTATGACTATTGTAATCTTTATAAAAATGGAGCTTAATTTGTTATTATCGTAAATTGACTTATTTATTTTAACATATTGCATATAGGATGAGATGATAAATTTATATAAAATTGCAATAACCAGTCAACGTTTTAAGATCTGTTAATAGTTATCCCCCAAGCTTTTTATTTTGTGAAGAATGATTTTTTTCGTGGATTGACAAGTCAGGTGGCACGCTATATTTCACCCAGCCGGTCTTCGGCAAACACCCCCGCTTTCCAGATAATCTTAATTCAATAGGGCGCTCTCGGGACTATCGAGCAAGGGATCTAGAATCCAATTCTTGTCCTAACAAAAGAGCCGGGGGTGGTGCGGGGTGGCCCTCGCCCATTATTTACACACTGGTCTCATTGTAGGACGGGATGTCATCTGGTGAATTAGATACGAGCGGCTGTCAATCATTTCGGCAATCGCGGAGCCGCTGGTTTAAATCCTGCCCTTTTGAAAATCCCTGCGAAGCCCACGACGGCGGAAATTATCGATTGCGGACACGCGTGAGAGTAAGGAGTCGTTGGAGAAAAAGTGTAATGGGGCTACGAGGAGGCTGGCGTCGACTCGGCCAACCATGAAATTAATGTTAAATATTAGACATCGGATGTGTCTTTGTCTTATGCCTTCTATACACATCCCCGGCAGCGTGAAATCACCTCCTTCTACGCTACGGTGAAGAACGCTTAATGGCCGCGCACATTAATTTAGTTTGGAAAGAGCGAGTTTGGCAAGGGAAGTGCGGAGGAAGAAATGGGTGGAGCTTGAGAACAAATGTAAAATGTTCTTTTCGCTCTCGGTATACAAGTTCAATTTATCTTCATGCTGTTAGAAAAGCTATCTAGCTCTCGGTAGATTCATAATAAATTTTTCGTACTTCATCTCGTTAATTTACGTTCTCCGATAATAGGTGAATTCAAATTAACCCATATTTTATTAATTCTTAATAGCCAGCTTAAGCGCCAGCAGAGATAGGCGAGCAAGAAAAAAATCTATGTTCATATCAACCTGCTTTAATATCTGAAATTAAGAATATCCTAAGATTAAGGTATATAAAGGTAGCTTAGATTCCTGATGACTGTTATATTTTCTTGGCGGTATCGCTGATATTTTCATACAAAATTATGATATTAAAGGCTGAAAGAGGACCGCTATAGCCAAGTGGTGAGCATGTCAGACTATCGGCTCGAAGAACCGCGATCGTGGGTCGATTCCCACTGTCGTCTTGGGAATTTTTGACCCACTCTCACAAAACTTCGTAATCTGACTAATATGAAAACCATAGGGCAAACAAATATGTCAAGTTCTACGAAGATTAAATTGTCTAAATACATTGATTTCATGAATAGATTTTAAGTGTTATTTACGCAAAATGAACAAATCTGCTATGATTATGAAGAAATTAAATTCGAAAAATTGTACTATATTTAGATTATACATCGCTACTTTAATGGGTAATAAAATGTTTAGTATAAAATAATCGAACAGGGTGACTCAACTCACACAAAGAATTAGGGTGTTACAAATTGGCCATTTACTGCGGCTGAAAAAGCATTAAAGAGAGAGAGAGAGAGAGAGAGAGAGAGAGAGAGAGAGAGAGAGAGAGAGCGAGCGTGACAGTGAGAGTGAGTGAGAGAGAGAGCGTGACAGTGAGAGTGAGTGAGAGAGAGAGAGAGAGAGAGAGATCGTGACAGTGAGAGTGAGTGTGAGAGAGTGAGAGAAAGAGAGAGAGAGAGAGAGAGAGAGAGAGAGAGAGAGAGAAAGAAAGAGCGAGAGCGAGAGAGAGAGAGAGAGAGAGAGAGAAAATATGTGTACTTTTGTAGTTTTTGCAGTAGTTTGGCAGTATACAAACCTCGTAACCTACCTTGTTATTTTTTTCTTATTTAAAATATTAAGTAACGTGCAAAGAGAAAATATTTGTTGTAGTCAACATTGCCTCTAGTATAGAAGTATACAACCTATTGATTGAGTCAAATATTTATAATATTTATTTTGAACTTTAGTTCTTGCCACATACTTTTCTTAAGTTGAAATCAAGCATGCAGTTAGTTTGTTTTAAAACCTTTTAAATTTCATTTAAAATTTGAGTGATCTAGAATTTGAACGAGAAAACTAAAAATCTTTGCATTGCGTTTTTCCTATAATTCTAAATGCTGACGACGTATAACTATAAATATCAATGATTCAGCTTTAATATTAACAATACTGTTAAGGTAATAAGTTATTCATCAGGTCTTAGAGGAGGTGAAGACGGATTGAAGACGATAAATAACCGGAACGGAGAGGAAAAGGCCCCTCCTTACCTGGATGTCTATCTATTAGTAATCATAGTATCAGAGGAGGTGAATAATGTAAGAGTTCGGCCACATTATCGGGTTTACAGGTTTAACAAGGATCACGAAATTATGCCGGGAGGCGAACGTCCCGGATGTGGGGGTGGTGAATATTTTCCACCCGCCTGAAAAAAATCCAGTTACGCCTTACACGAATCTGTCTAATTGCCAGTTAAGAGATGGCGTGGCATATCAGTATGCGCATATCTGTTAAGGGAGCCATCCAGCGAGCCGGGTAATATATGCCGGCTATATAAATAGTGTGGCCCGGGGGCAAGTAGACCCGCCCTCGCTTTAAATGTATTAGCCGCCCCCGACCCGGCCCACCCGGCTAGACATCTATATGTATGACTTGCCGTAATTCGTTTAGCGACAATAGGAAGCTCACAACCCTCGCATTAGCGCAGCCCCGAGGCGATTGGCAAAAAGGGATATGTTATCTTTCGGTTGACATAAGCTCAGAGCTCACCTCACAGGAAGCCCAACAATTGTCAAGATAAAAAAACCCTATTTCCTACCAATCCGACTTAAACAGAAAGTGAATATATATACTATTTTCATGTTATTCGTAAAATTTACTTAATTCAATTAATTATTCCTTTTATCTAAGGTCTTGCCTAGGATGAAAAAGTTAGTGTCACGAGCGGGATTCGAACCCACGCCCTTCGGCTCAATATACCGAAGTCATGATAGCTCAAGCGGCCTATT